GTTTGCCACATGTATTCACTCATCTGCCTTCACATGCATATGAACTTGAGTCACACCCCATTGTTAATCCATAGGGTTTCATATATGATGGTGGCCCAACCTTGGCAGCTATAACAGTTTCATCTCATCTGGGAATGTTGAAGCTTTTGGAGTGTTTATGGGATTTTTGAGTGTTCTTCCAGAATCTGTGCGGTCAGACACAGCACACACGAGTGTCTCGCAGTCGCTGCTCTGATTCATCCCAAAGGTGGATGAGATCTTGGGTTGAGGTCACGACTCTGTGCAGGCCAGTCAGCTCAGTCATGTCTTTATGGAGCTGCTTTGTGCACTGGTGTGCAGTCTTAGAGGCCATCCCCAAACTGTTCCCACGAAGTTGGAAACATGAAGTCGTCCCAGATGTCTTGGTATGCTGAAGCATTTCTTTAAAGGAAACTGCTGACACACAACCCCACACGAAAATACCTCCTACACCAAACCTAAAACCTGGCACATGTAGTCAGATCAGCACCGTTCTCATGGCAACCGTCAAACTCATATTCACCCATCTAATTGCCAGATGGAGAAGTAGCTCAGGAGGTAGAGCAGGTCATACAGTGATCGGAGGTTGGGGGTTCGAGTCCTGTCTCCCTTGGGTTAGTAAGCACTTAAAGCCATAGAAGGAAGTGGATGGGTGAATGTAGCATGTTGTATTGAGGTGCTTTGAGCTCTCTGGGAGAGTAGAAAAGTGTTTTGTAAGAATCAGACCAGTTCCCATTTGTTACTCTGTGCTTCTGCCAGCTGAAATGCATGTGAGGCTTTGCTTTGAGCTCGGTGGTGTAAGGCTTGGATGGAGCTGCTCAGCCATGAAGCTGTTCTTCAGCTAATATGAAGGTCACGACCTCTGCATCCTTGGACCCCACTCTGTGGTTTTACGTGCCATATCACTGTCGCTGAGTTGCTGTCATTCCCAATCACTTCCTCTTTGTTATAATACCTCTAACAGTTTTGGAGTGTTTAGTAGTGAGGAAACTTTCTGACTGGACTGTTTGCACACGTGGCATCCTGTAACTGTACCATGCTGGAGTTCAGTACAGTAGTAAGGATGGTGGTTTCTGGGGCACATTATATTCTGTAAATGATGCTTTGCTGTTGTAACGGCCTGATTCTGTGCAGGTGTTATCAGTTATTTTGCTCTGATGAGTTTTCTTAAAAGCAAAGCAGACAGCACATCATTTCTCAGCAATATTAGGCCCGTCAGTGTGCGGGCACTCGCACGATCTGTACCACTGCCTGCTGGGATCAATCGATAAAGCGCCTTCTGCTCCTTAATCTGAAGCTGCAGGCAGCTGCAGGACTTTGGATCTCCACGTGACAAGCACAGCTCTGAGAGATGCTTCTCCCCTGTGCTGGTTTCTATCCCAGCTTATTCTGACTGGTTTATTACATGTTCTTAAAAGCTGGTGACCTCTCTGAGTCTTGGAAACACCAAATGCTGCCACGTAGATGACAAGAATACACACGAGTCATCATAAACATTGCTGATCATCACATTAACAGTGGCAGAGGCCAAGGTGTGGTTTGCAGAGTCAGTATGTTGGAGAAGAGTGGTGTGCACTAATACACCACTTACTGTCCTCTAATGTCCTGGAGCCTGACACTGCAGGGTTCCCCGTACAGCCACATGTATGTGCTCTGCAGCAGCGCAGAGCAGTGAGATCCAGCTAAGTCAGGGACAGCGTTTGGGGTGAGCCGTTCTGATGCACCAGAGAAACTAGAGCAACTTTAGTCAGTTTTACAGTGTTTCACTGTTCTGTCTCAAGGAGACTGCGTGTATTATCATGTACAGACGTGTACGTACACTCATCATGGCCATGTAATATTTAATCATTTAACCAGTGTAAATATGGGTCAGTTTTTTTGGTATTTTTATGCTGATGTCAGTCAAGGGCTGATATCCAGTCAGCGTACAGGTGCATCTGTACCTGTGATTATTCTCATGTTGGTGTTTGTATCATCCAAAAAAATCCTAAAAAGAACCCGAAGCTTAGATTTACATCGCTGTCAGGCTGGGTGTGGGTGAAAGTTTGCGCTTTAACTCTGTTTAGTGTTCGAGGAAAAGGACTTGGAGTCTTTGCTGAAGCATTTCCATGGTAATAGAGTACTGACTGGGACTTTGTTCTTTACAATGATGTCAGTACAGCCGAGCACACACTCTGCATCTCAAGTGTTCACTTCCCAGGGAGACGGTTTGGTGACAGCCTGCCCAGAGACACCGAGCAGCTTTGGTACAACTACACAGAAAGGACTCCACACCAAGTCATGTAACAGAGTAAACTTACAATAAGCCTTGGCCTGGCCGAGGACACGAGGAGGAAGGACGAGTCTGAGTTAGAGACACGTACATAAAGGGTGAGGCTGAGGTTGTGCAGTCCAGTTAGAAATCTATCGTATTAATAACATTACAAATCCATATTTTCAGCATGAAGTAGTGTCTGTGACCCTACAGGAACTCGGCTGAAATAAAACTCGGGGCTAACTCCATGGCTAATGGTGACTAGCCAGCAGTCCAGCATTGGACCAACACCATGCTTAAGCACCTCCTACCAGAACAAACCATAGAAACATTAACTCACATTAACTCGTGAAAGCAAAAAGAAGATACTATAATTATCATTTTAAAAATCATGGTAATTAGTAAATATATAAAATATCCAACCACTTAAAAATACACACTACCGCTCAAAAGTTTAAGAAAACCCAAAATTTTCCAGTTTTTTATTGAAAGTGATGCAGTTTATTGTCTCATTGAACTCTGAAATGAAAGCATAGCACAAATAAGTAATTGGAGTTAAAAAAGAAATCATGGAATCAGTTTATAGACCAAAGTATATTCTAACCTTTAACCCATCAGAGTAGCCTTCTTTGGCAGATATAACAGCTGAAGACAGTTGTGGCTTCTTTCTACAATAGAAATCAAATATTCTCCCATATCTGTAGGGTTAGTTCCCATAAACGTGGACCTTGTAGGCTGCTTTGCTTTCACTCTTCTGTCCAGTTCAAACCAGCTCGATGGGGTTTAAGTCTGGAGACTGTGCTGGACTCCATGTTTTCAAGCTCACCACCTTGTTCTTTGTTCCTGAGGTAGTTCTGGCACAGCTTGGATCTATGTTTTGGGTCTTTATGTTGCTGTAGGATGAAGCCTTGACCAACTAGGCTCATACCAGAGGGTCCTGCATGGTGCTGCACAATGCTGTGGTACGTGTTTTGGTTCAGGGAGCCTCTCACTCTGTACAAGTCACCGACCCTGGATCCAGCAAACAGCCCCAGACCATCACACTTCCTCCTCCATGTTTGACGGTTGACACCACACACTGTGGAACCATCCTTTACCTACTCGACCACAAAGATCCTCTGTGATGAACACAAGGTTTCAAATGTTGATCCATCAGTCCATAATACCTTCTTCCAGTCTTCAGTAGTCCAATGGTGGTGTTTCACGGCCCAGCCAAGCCTCTTTGTCTTATTCTGACGTCTGGCTTTCTTGCTGCAACTCGTCCTGTCAAACCTGAAGCTCAAAGTCTTCTCTTCACAGCTGAAACTGAGACTTTCTTACGACGACCACTATTAAGCTGCTTGAAGCTGTTGTCCTGTGAGCTGCCCATCACACAGCTGTTAACTCTCAGAAACTTGTCCTCTGATTCAGTCGTGTCTTTGGGTCTGCAGACCTCTTCCTGTCAGTTTGTTTCTGAGCCTTTGGATGCTGAAGGAAACTGGACTCACTGACACCTTGACTTTCTTTGCAGTTTCTCTGTAGGACAGACCGACATTTATACGTGTTATGATGGTCTGTCTCTCTTCCATTGTCAGTCACCTTTTTCTCACACACTCACACACGCAGCATTTGAAACATTAGTATTAGATACATGTTGTCACACTTCCATGTTTCAGATTATCAAACAAATATTAACATTAGACAAACAGGAATAAACACAAACTGCAGTTTTTACACCTCAGCCATAAAAAGGTGTGATGTCATCACCCTCCTGGGTTGGCGGTGATGACATGTCTAAGGCTACGTTCACACTGCAGGAAAAAGCGCATCAAATTCGACTTTTTTTGACCCTATGCGACCCATATCCGATCATGGTGTGACAGTGTGAACAGCACACATCCGATATTTTCAAATCCGATCTGGGTCACTTTCGTATGTGGTGCTGAATCCGATACATATCTGATGTTTCAGAAAGCGACTGCTGTTTGAACGGTCATGTCGCATTAAATCGGTCTTTTACGTCACCGACACAAGACAGACGGCAATTATCAGCGCTGGAGAAGATATCGTGAACGCTTCCTGGCCATCCGGTGAAACTGTTGGGAAGACAACGTTGGAGAAACGTGAACATTTAATTTGTATTGTATAATCTGCAGATTCTGACAGAAATCTGCAGCTATCCTTTGAAGCACTGCTCCTCTCTAAAACAGCAATAAGGATGATTATTAGGCCATATGTAAATAACAAAATAACTTTATAACTTAAAGTAAAATTGGGAAACGTAAGGTCCAAAACAAGTGGGCCATCAGTCAAACAATACTGTTGGTCTGGGTGTAAACAGAGCGCGTTCTGTGTGACATCTTTTACCCATGCGGGCCGCTTTGAGCGTTCACACTAGAGCGCGTTTGCTGTCACGTTTTATTTGTAGTGTGAACGAGCAGACAGCACAGTCTCCGTCTTGTTGTTTATGAAGACAGAGTTCTATTGTTGAAAATGTCTTTTGATTTTCTCTGTTATAAATGAACGATGTGTATTTATTCTGTCGTGATAATAATTGTATTAAAATAAATACTGATTACAAACGTGGATGTTTGCAGCTGTGTTTTGTGCTATTCAGCCATAAAGGCTAACTATGAAAATCAGACTCCTCATTTAAACGATGAAGAGTCTCATTGTCCGTCCTGTAGTGGCAAAGTTTGACTTTGACATATATGTTCTGCTAAAAAGGGTGCATGTTTTTGTCTTACAGAAAGCCTACTGTGCCCACTGTAGTGACAGGATATGGGGGCTGGGCAGTCAGGGCTACAAGTGTATCACCTGCAAACTGCTGGTCCATAAGCGCTGTCACAGACTCATCCCTCAGACCTGCCAAAGGCTTATGGTGAGTATGTGATTATGCCCATTAAATTGCACAGAGGCTCCTGTTGTCTGCATGGATCATTGTGAAAGCTTTTTCCCTCCCTGGACAAAGAACCGTTCAAAGAAACCATCAAAAGCCCAAAATTACCATGACACTCATATCAGTGAGGGGTGTGTGTAAACTGTGGACATGCAAAGAATAATCTTTAACCTTAGGTGCACTCAGTGATTGACCCTTCTTTGGTCATAGGTGGATAGAGAGCAGCTGTTACACTGGCCCTGTTGTTTAATCTCTTTAATTTGTTAGCAGTAGGCTAATAATGTAGAGCAAAAGTTAGCTAGTCAGTGTTACTGATGGGACTAATTATGTTCTCAAGCTGTTGTCAAACATTAAGGTGGAGGCCATGGCAGGGATTGTTGAACAGCTACTGCATCAAAGTCCCTCCCGACCAATCAGATTGCACTATTTGGGAACATTCAATCTCCTTTCCCATCAGAGTGAACACAGTGTCAGACCAACGCTGGAAACAGTGTAACAAGTAGTTGTTTTAAGTATCAGGTTAATATGTTAGAGCTCTCAAACTCTATATGTGAAACTGAAGTTTGACTCTCTCAGGGTTAATTCATTACCCGGAGTCATTCTGAGTCAGTCAGCTCTCAGTGTAAATAAAGTGAGTGAAACTGAAACCTCTTGCTTTGGGCTCAGCATACTGTGCTAATCTTGCGTCACAGTAGCACCTTTCAGGCCTCAGCATCAAGTGGAACCACACAGGTTCTGCACAGGAGCAACAACAAAACACAGCAGAACAGTTTGTCACAAATGTCTTTAAAATGTACTTGTGTTTGGTGTGTGTGCTGCTTTACATGAGATTCAAAGATCAAGTAGTGATGTCTTATCTTATCAGTGAAGCAGTTTATAAAAAGGAATTAAAATGGTTTTGAAACAGCTGAGAAACAACAAGCTAGTCTTTCAAACAAGTCTTTCTTCAAAGACCAGCAATATAGTGATATCCTAACTGATACAAAACAAGGACGGCGTGACCACAGACCAGTGTGCTCCACGTAGTCAATCCATTAGAGCGCTATGCAAGCTTCTGGCCAAACAGAAAGATCCAAAATTTTGACCCCAATCACCCAAATCCTGAGCAGAAAATCATTGCAGTCAATGGAGTATGTGCTCCGCGACTGTGCTGCTATCTTCACTGCCTTTTTTCCTGGATAAGATTAAATCCCTTTTCTGGAGAAACCCCCACACTTCATTAGAGCAGCAACATTTCTGCCCATGAGCTGAAATACAGACCTCGCCCTGAGCGTAAACATGAGCCATCATCCACTCGTCCAGGACTGCACAGCCATGACGGGATATCTGATAGGGCATGTTGCAAAGAAATGCAGGTGAATATCTGAAATCTTTTCTTCAGGATCCAGTCATGCCATCACAGAAGCCCCCTTCAGATGCCCAGAGTGCCGAGGTGGACCTTCCACTGGATGACACAGAGGACACAGATGGGAGTAAGATGCATTTCTTTTATATGCCACTGAGTTACCTAAGAAAGCTAATCGTTGTATGAGTGCAGGTTTCTTTGAGATCCAGATGAAAAAGGGAAACTCTGAACTCTGCTGCATTTTTATGAGACATAAGTCAGCAGAGAGCATGACGGGATCCTGGACACAGCATCCAAACCCAGTCCATGCACGTCTAGAAACTGTGGACTACATGTCCCAGTCTGACTGCATTCATGTCCTGGACTGTTTGGACTCTAACACATAGGACATTTAACACTTTTCACACTTTCTGATGTCTTCTGTGGTCCTTCGTAGGCGGTGAACTGACCGTTGGGTGGGCCCTAAGAAATGTTACAATAAAATACAATAGAGTGTAATTTTGTTTGAAATGACTACAAATATTTAGCATAAGAATGCATTTGAGTTTGTCTCAGAGTAACTGTGATATCTGTGGATAAACAGGGTGACAACATCTCTTTGAAAGTACACAAACTCTTTTAAATTTGAGAGTGAATAAAAAATAAAGAAGAGTGCTGTTCTCTACAGAGATGTGCGCCACTACACCAGTTTCTTTAGTGTTTCCTTAAACGACAGCTACTTGTACAATTTATAACTGAGGAGCCCTCAGTGGCCCCCGCTGTCATTTTACGAGTCCCCAAAGAAATGAGTACCAGAGTGGCTGCTTGGACCAGTGGGCCTGGTCTCTTGACTTCTCATTCGCTGTCATCACTTATGTAACTCTGAGATGCTTATGTGTAAACTTGTGCCCATGAGATGCTCTGGGGCCCCTTGTGGATTAGCCTAGTTTGGTAAGAACAGGGGTCTTTATTTTGTGTGCTCTGCCTCCCTCTGCTGGTTGAGGGAAAGAAAGCATTTGCGACAGTCTCCAGATGGTCATAGTTTGGTGTGGATCTGTGTTTTGCAGTACCGTTTTTACCACACAACTGTGCAGTGAATAAAGCAGAAGACGAGACAGAGGTAAGACCGACTCATTAAGGATAATACGCTGATAATGTAAAAGCTGCCCATCCCTTTGAAAATGACTGTGTGATCATTCTTCTACATAAACTATGCTATTGATGCTATTCTGACCTCTGCCCCTGTAGGATATCAAAGCAGTAGTTGATGGCATCGATGGCATTAAGATATCCCAGGGACTGGCTCTCGGGCTGGCTGACTTTGACCTGATTCGAGTAATAGGACGAGGCAGCTATGCCAAAGTTCTGCTGGTGCGGCTAAAGAAGAACGAGCAGATGTACGCCATGAAGGTGGTGAAAAAGGAGCTGGTCCATGACGACGAGGTGAGAGCACCCGGAGAAACTCTGACTGTAGTACTTAAACCCCTAGAACCACATGAGTACTCGTTAGCAGTAATAGGTTTCTTGTAGCTGGTCACCAGGTTTGCACACATGTCAGGAGGGATTTTAGCACACTCCTCTCTATAGAAACTCTCGAAATCCTGCCGCTTGGCAGCGTGAAGCTTCACCTCCCTCCACAGGTTTTTAATTAAGAATTAATGTCTGGAATCTGGCTAAGCCAATACATGACCTTAGTGCGTGTTTCCTTTAGACACTTCTTTGTTGTTAGAAGACCCATCCATGACCCGTCCTGAGTGTCTAGTGGAGGTCACGGCTTCATCCAAAGCATAATATTTCCACCTGTGTGCTTGAGGGTGGGGTTGGTGTTCTTTGGTTCATACTCAGCACTTCTCTTCCCTCCAAAACACCGCAGGGTGGGTTGATGCCAAAAACCTCATTTCTTTGTTTCATCTGTCCGCAGCATTCTCCTGAGCTTTCTCTGAATCATTGAGATCTTCACTGACAAATGTAAGATGACACGTGCCTTCTTCTGAAGGTTGACTTTGCTGCAGGACTTCAGTTCATGGCTGTGTGTTGTGTTACCAGTGGTGTTCTTGGTGACTGTGGTGCCAGCTGCCTTTAGATCATTAACAAGTTTAGGCCTGGTTTTAGCATGGGGGGTCTAGCCAGGACCCTTACTGGATACTGGGTGGAAATCAAACTTGCGACTCCTGCTCCAAAGGTGTGTAGTCTTACTACTACCCTATCCAGCTGCATTCCAGCCTTAAGGAGGCTGACATTGGTTGACATTTGTTGGTCTTCCCATGGGTTTCTGTGGACAGGTGTGCTTTGTAAACAGTAGTTGTATTATATGTAGCGCACAGCTGGTCTGTGAGAGCCTGAATCCTCGGTTTATTGTAGAGGATCAAATAAGTATAAAATATATGCTTTACAACAATAGGTTTCTTGTGCAGCATCCCACTGACAGGCCTGAATTTACAATGTGACCACCGTGTGTTATACAGAAGACTGAGTTAGTGATTGAAAACATCAGAGTTAGTGTTTCTCACTGACTTCTGTACTATTCAGAATCAGAATACTTTATTAATCCCGAAGGAAATTAGGGTTAGTTAGTTTTACAACAGGCAATGCACCCCCTGCTGGACATTGGAGAGAATGCAGGATTTATACTGCTGTGAGTTTTCAGACCTGGAGGCTTCATCCATCTTCATTGTGTTGTAACAGTCCAGAACAACTGACTGAAAACATTAACCACCACAGCTGCAAGCGTAAAAGAAAAACAAGAGAAGGAAAACTACAAACATTAAACACTGAAGGTTTCAAAGATTTCTAAGCACAAAGACTGAGAAGTGTAATGTTTGCCTTCAGGAGGGGATATAACTCTATAAATCAGCCTACGTGGGGACAGCTGTTGCTGTTTTCCTTTTGAAATGCTTTGGAACAGATTTGGTAGACATTAGTAAATTCTTGTATAAAAGTGTGTAAACAGCAGCTTCAGCACCCAGTGATTTCCACTGAAGTCCACATACACAGATGATGTCAGGATCTGTGATGTTGGCACATCCCAGCCACGGACCGCTTTTTTCTGTCTTACATGTAGGGTTGAACTGGACCAGTGGTGGACAGCAGGACACATTTCATTGAGAATGTGGGGAATTTTCAATACTTCTGTTTATATTTTCTCGAATACTCAGAGGGCAGCTGGTTTTGCACGCTGTCTGTTTCATTGTTTTGACCTTGCATGGAGACAGCAGGGCTCTGGAGAGATTTAGGAGCACTAGACTATGTAACAGGTCAATATTCAGAGGAGAGTGGAGGGTAAAAGTTGGAAGTGAAGGGTGACGAGGAAACAGTGGGGAGGTATGAAAATATGAGAATCGGGATTGGCTAAAGGAAGGGAATGGAACTGAGCCAGACACTGGAAGGAAATGGAACAAAGAAGGGGAAATTTGGAGTGGAGGTGGCACAGAGCTGCTGAGGAGGAAGAAGTGAGTGGGTGACTGAAAGCAGCAGATGAAATCCGGGTATAACATCCTCTTTGCAGGGATGAATAACCAGATGAACATGAAGTCTGCATAAATAATGTTCCACAGGCAAAAACATGTTATATTCATAGAAACAGAAGCATTACAAGAGCCAAAGTGTCGTTTCGTTTTCCACGAGTGATGCCCACACCTGCAGCTTTCTTTGAAAGTGTCTCTGACACAGTCTGTCTGCATGGTACGTTAGCAGTACTGACAGCTCCCTGTCCTCCAGGACTGATCATAACCTTAGAAACAACACGTGACTTCTGTGGGTGGATTGTGGATACAATAAGACTCAGTGACTTTGAAATACTTTGAGTCAGCTCTGTTTTCTGTGTTACTCTGATTTCACTTCTTGCTCTCGACTCGTCTGGCTTGCTGGTCTGATAACTCAAAGCTTAGCTTAAGTTAACAGACTCTGATCACGTTCTTTAGACTCTGTGACTTCTCTGCCTCAAAAGTCATCAGGTAGTCCTAGAACATCGTAGCTGAAACATATGTTAAAAGAAAGACAGAGAGAGAGATTGGTAAGGAGGTGAGATAGGCCTGAATACAGAAAGCCTACTGACTGTGCTGTGGTTGTGTGATGAAAGTCCACTAGATGGCAATATTGCTCAACATATAGGCTGAGGACCAGCGTCCTATAACTACAGCATCGTCCATCATCTGACCAGCTCACGTTGTCCCACATGGACACGTTTTATTCCATGACAAAGTTTCACTTTCTGTACAAACAACAATCCACGGACAGCAGGAAGGTGATTCCACTGAGAGTCAAATAGTCTGAAATGTCAGACGTGTTACTATGACTTATTTTGCATAATAATAATAATAATAATAATAATGGCTGGATGCAGTAATGACTTGACCAAAAGGAATTTTGTATCACGGCACAGTGTACACACACCTGATCACAGTTTAATGATGCTTTAACTCCAGATTCAGAGTCCTCGCTGCAGGCAAAGCACTGAGCAGCATCCATGACATCCTGGGTACTCTGAAGGACTTCTGGGAGTTGGAGTGCTTTCAGCTGTTATTTTGTGACACCTGATTTAGAAAGGCGATTCAGTATAAAGGGTTGGATACGATGAGATGCTGATGTCACAAAATAATGTCAAATTTTGCAGCAAACACTGTAGATTGCATACCTGTAATAACGTCACTTACTATTGGCAGTATTTTAGTCCAAAATTACAAACTGTAGATAAAAGATGGACTTTGGGAAGTGAATGTAAGCCACTGTGGTTCAAGTGCCTTAAACCTGCCATCGTGTTAAAGGACAATAGAGAGCTCTTCTGTTTCCCGAGTTCATGGCTTGCACTCCATTAATCTCCCATTCTGTGTGTGAGGGCTGTTCAAACCAGTGACACCAGTGACCTGATGTATCTCCATCGATCTGTCTGAGGAAGCCTACTGACAAACCGATTGTTCCCACATTATCTGTCTCATGCTGTGTCTGTCTCATCTCTGCAGGATATTGACTGGGTGCAGACAGAGAAGCATGTTTTTGAGCAGGCCTCGACCAATCCCTTCTTAGTCGGCCTCCACTCCTGTTTCCAGACAGAAAGTCGGTAAGAGGATAAAGCTGACACTGTGAGCGCTGTCGGGTACAGTGCTTTTCACTAAATACTCCTTTGACGATGGCCCGTTCTTACCTCAGTCTGCTGAAGTAAGCTTAACGTCTAACTTCATATTAACACACAGATTCAAAGTATATGTTCCAGCATACAGACACATATTTAGTCGTACGTCTTCCTACATGCGCACATTAGCTGTAAACTGTGGCTCACGGCTGTGAAGTATAAAAATGAGCTTTGAGCCGTTGTTTAAAACAAAGCACAGATTCAGGCAACCTGACAAACAGATGAAGGCTGTTCCTGAGTAGCTCCACACGTATCTGAAGACAGGTTGACAGTTTTCCAGAAGCTCCTCCCTTTTTTAACTTTGCGTAGTGAACTCTTCAAACTGCTTTCTGGGCCTCAGTGTTTAGTAAGAAAGCACAATGTTGTGGGTCGTTAGGGTTGTGTCACAGCAACAATGCCGCTGCACTCTGACACTGATTCAACTCTGTGTGATCTGTGCAGCGTCCAGCTCAAGGCAGCCCTGGAGCTCCATCATGCACCGAGGTCAAAGTTCAAATGAGTTGTAGTTTGTGTCACTAGGTTTACATTGTGTGTCTAAATTTACTGAATTGAAAGAGATTAGACATTGTGGTGTGTTTTCACAGTGAGGTCATTGTTGTAGTTGGGAAATAACCACGGCTCAGATTTGTAATGTGCTCCATTCAATGGTTCTGCAGATCTATTAAAACCTGTTCATGATGTGAGGACTAAAGGTACTGTTCACACTCAGGACTTTACTGTTTTCCTCAAACAGTGCTGAACCCAGCAGGGCTGCACCCATAACAGCCCTTCATAAAGATCACGTGACCAACAGCTGACACATCAAACAGCTGAACTTTTTTTTACTTTACTATTGTTTTTGTTATGATTTGTAATAAACACTGACAACTTCCCTTCCTTATCTATATAAGGACATTTTCATACATTCAATTTATTTATACATCACAACAACAGTCGCCTCAAGGTGCTTTATATTGTAAGGTAGATCCTACAATAATACATACAGAGAAAAACCCAACAATCACATGACCCCCTATGAGCAAGCACTTTGGCGACAGTGGGAAGGAAAAACTCCCTTTTAACAGGAAGAAACCTCCGGCAGAACTAGGCTCAGGGAGGGGCGGGGCCATCTGCTGTGATTGGTTGGGGTGAGAGAAGGAAGACAGGATAAAGACATGCATACAACATGCAGTGTCACATTTGTCCTCCACAGTATCATCTTAATAACACTTTAGGTGTTATTACATAAACGAAGCTGAATGACTTGCTCATCCAACCATTTCCGCATAGTCTCCTTTGTGGAGCAACACCCCTCCAGGCACCACCTGCAGCTGTACTATATTTCCTCCACAGTGACTCTCCATCATGAATTTTTCGGTGGGGAAGAGGAGGAAAAGACAGGCAGCCAGGTGAAGAGTGGCTGTGCTGGAAACACGTGGTTATGATGTAACATGCACATGCTGTGGAACTGCTCAGGTCGTTTGTGTCTCACCTCTAAACCTCGTGCACATATGAAGAGATTCACTCGTTGTGCATTGCTTTAATCGACAGTTGGTCACCAGAGGATAGCCCAGGCTTCGGTTGCCTAACCCACTAATGTGTTTTCTACTCCCTCTTATTATTGGCTCACATTTCAGTCGCTTCAATCGCTCGACTCCCATTTGTGAAAAGTTTATGTCAGGATCCACCCACGTCGTATTTCCAGCATCTTAATACTATCACGATACTACCTTAATACTATCACAATACTACCTTAATACTGTCACAATTCTACCATACTACTGTCACAATTCTACCATACTACTGTCACAATACTACCTTAATACTACCTTAATACTATCACAATACTACCTTAATACTACCTTAATACTATCACAATACTACCTTAATACTACCTTAATACTATCACAATACTACCTTAATACTACCTTAATACTATCACAATACTACCTTAATACTATCACAATACTACCTTAATACTACCTTAATACTATCACAATACTACCTTAATACTACCTTAATACTGTCACAATACTACCTTAATACTACCTTAATACTATCACAATACTACCTTAATACTACCTTAATACTATCACAATACTACCTTAATACTATCACAATACTACCTTAATACTACCTTAATACTGTCACAATACTACCTTAATACTATCACAATACTACCTTAATACTACCATAAAACTATCACAATACTACCATAAAACTATCACAATACTACCTTAATACTGTCACAATACTACCTTAATACTATCACAATACTACCTTAATACTATCACAATACTACCTTAATACTATCACAATACTACCTTAATACTACCTTAATACTGTCACAATTCTACCATACTACTGTCACAATTCTACCATACTACTGTCACAATACTACCTTAATACTGTCACAATACTACCTTAATACTATCACAATACTACCTTAATACTACCTTAATACTATCACAATACTACCTTAATACTACCTTAATACTATCACAATACTACCTTAATACTACCTTAATACTGTCACAATACTACCTTAATACTATCACAATACTACCTTAATACTACCTTAATACTGTCACAATACTACCTTAATACTGTCACAATACTACCTTAATACTATCACAATACTACCTTAATACTATCATAATACAATAATATTTTATTATTGATTAAATAACATCAAACGGGGCTTTTGAGTCAAGGTGCATGTTTTCTTTTGATATAATGAAGACCAGCAAGAAATGCTCTTTTTTAAAATTTGCATAACGTTCATATTGAGAGTATTTGATGTAACGTCTGTTCATAAATGTTCTCGCTCTGTTTCCAGGTTATTTCTAGTGATCGAGTATGTGAACGGTGGGGATTTGATGTTTCATATGCAACGACAAAGGAAGCTCCCGGAAGAGCACGCAAGGTAAACCTCCAGATGTACGCCAGCTTCCAGGCATTATCCACATAAAATATGGTCCCTGTCCACAATGTGAGAATCTTTAGAGGGTACATGATGTTTAGGTGTACTCCCACATGTGCATTATGAACAGGTCGCATGTTTGAATGAAGACTGAGCAGCAGCTGATTCAGTCTGAGGTGGTAAATGAGGCCTCTGTGATAGCAGGATGACACTGAAGTGGGTACACTTGATTTTGGTTACACTGACATGACACAGAAAACCCATTTGTACAATTGTGAACAATTTTGGGGTAAACGACTTCCAGAAGGGTCAAACCATTGTATCTGCATCCCTGGAGCGGAGCAAGTTCAGGGACAGCATAACCTATATTTTCACGTAGCCTCAGTTTACACGCAGGAAATCATGAGGGCTGCTCTGGCGATACAGCCATGTGTACGTGCAGCATTGGGCCGGTTCAACGCACGGCTGTGCAGAGCGGGCAGACTCATGTTCAGCTGTTTTTGTGAAAAGTGTTGTGAGTATTAGACGTCAGAGCCCTCAGGTAGGAGCTGCATGCCTGAACCACACCAGATCAGCGGTTTTCAGGACGGTCTACAGATTCATACTGGGTGTGTCTTCTTTTAAACACATATGTTTGAAGATATGCTTCATAGGATGCTTTAACAGGTCTCAACACTTTTACCCTCCTTTTAAAATATAATGAGCACCCATAATTCATTGTGGCTGTCTACTCGCGGGGCGCTCCAGCTGCGTCTCTGATAAATAGCGGATCAAAGGCTGTGTAATTTACAGAGGCACCGTTGGACCCCTATCAGCTCATGCAATCTGGATTGTGGAGGCAGTGGCTGTATATATGCAAAGCAGCATGTTAGTTATTCATAATGATGGTACATATTCATGAGCAGCGCTCTTAGAGAGAGAGCCCTGCCACATTCCCCCACGCCGTGGGGGAGGCGGGCTGGTGGGCAGGGGATTGTGCTGCTGATAGGCCATAGCTTCCATCAGTCTGATGGCAACAAAGAAACAACAGCGTACAATGGAGGCTGTCACCGTGAAAATGTGGGGGAGCGACGTGGGATTTCTCCACTGCAGTCTTTTGCCTCAGTGTTTCACAGATTTATAGCAGCAGACAGCGAGAGGCTTGTCAGGTTTAATGAAGGCTTATCTCCTAGAGACAGAATACACACAACCTACACATGGAGAGAAAACATTTGACTGACTCACCGAAGAAGCACTCCAAGTACATCTAATGATGGCCCAAACTACAAAGGCTTTATAGACTAGCTGTCATAACAATAGCCATAGTAGAAGAAGAAATGTTTGGCACGAGGAACATGGTCTCTTTAATGTCTGTTACTTTGTGTGGACCCAGGAGTCAAAGCGTATCAGAGTATTGCAGGTGCTTTGACACATGCTGACCTGTTAGGAGCCGTGGCCTCAGAGAGGAGTGATGGTACTGACAGACCTCCGTCTGACAGGGAATAAACTACACCTGTGAAGTGGGCCTTCATGTACACACAGCTGGAGATACGGCCACTACACAGTGGCTTTGCTTTTGCATGAAACGCACACACACTTTGCAAATGTGACGCACAAATTCAGTTACGTCCCAGTCCAGGGTGTCCTCTCACCCAGTGACAGCTATCAGTAGTAAACAGTAGTGTTTACAAAGCCCACTGTAACACGGCTGGAGGTGTTATTGATGGCTTCTTTAGATTTCTAAGAACTCTGGCAGCAGCTGAGTAAATTATATGCAAGGAACGAGGACAGAGGCCACGTGGGGACGTCCTTCTCTGGGAACTGTAAACTGTACTTATCTGTCCCAGGCTCTGTTTGGAGCATGACACCAACATTTAGCCAGAGCTATAAAAACCAGTTTTCATTAGTTCTATAAGACAAACAAAGAGTCCTGCAGCAGATGCTGAGTCCCACTGACGTGCACAGCTGTTGGGAGGACATGTCTTACATTTCTGCAGAGGTGAACACTGCCTGCTGCAGATTTGAACCTGCTGGACTTTTGTTGGTCTTTCAGCTTTTTAAAGTTTCAACCAAAACTAATGAGTGTTTGTGTCTTCAAGGCCAAATCTTCACAATTCCTACATTATAAGAAAAAAGGAGAACAATAAAAATCCCAACAACTAATCAGAAACAGGAAGAGAAACAGTCATTTAGTCAGGTTAGATATAGCACCGCAGGCATTAGTGCACTGAGGGCCGTTTTGCATTGACCTGGCCCCAAAACACACACAGGTTAGAAATCTAACAACCTTCCTGCTGCGTCTCTTATTTTTGTAAAGTAAATGTGTGGATGCTATCAGGCTTTGGAGAGTGTTTACATGCGCCCTCCAACCCCGTGGTTCACTTAAGTCTGTTCTTATGGCTGTAGCACGGGTAGCTTCTGTAAATGTAACACAAACGCTCGACAGCATCACAAGCAGATGCTGGAGAACGATTCTGAACGATTGAGACGAGTCACTCTTAGTCACGGTCTGTAAACATCGATTTGCGTTGTCACTAAATCCATGCAGCTGTGCAGGAAGGATTTGAACATGTTCTCATGTGCGAGTGGAAATGTTCACCTCTCATCTCGTCACAGATTCTATGCTGCTGAAATCTGCATCGCTTTGAACTTCCTACATGAAAAGGGCATCATCTACCGTGATCTGAAGCTGGACAACGTGCTCTTGGACCACGAGGGACACATCAAGCTCACAGACTACGGCATGTGCAAGGTAACAGAGTGCGGGCAGCTGTAGCATTATCAATAATGCATTAGGTCAGTATTGACTGGAAGGTCTAGCGCGCTCTTGTTGATCTCTCCAAACGCTGCTGTCTTCTACTTCTTAGGAGGGGATCAGACCAGGTGATACCACCAGTACTTTCTGTGGCACTCCAAACTACATAGCGCCTGAGATCCTGAGAGGAGAAGACTATGGTGAGTACAGGAGCAGTGTAAAGGGTTACACTTTGACAGTCCTACTAAATCAAGCCATTCACAGACCATTACAAACTAATATGTGCTGCCTAACAACATTTCATGTTATACATGTGAATGTGTTTAATTGGTCCAAATGTGCTCCTGTGCTACCTTATTAAGTAACATCATAAAAACATATATGTATGTATATGATACAGCAGTAACTCCTGCATGTGTGACATTTTCTGTGTGTCTTTGAATCTCTTTCTAACGTTAGCCGTGTGTCAGCCTGTCCACACTGCAGTATGTCGTGTTGTGTGTCTGTACATGTGCGGAGCCATGTAGTGTACCAAACACCACAGAGACCTGACATCTGTTCTCAGCTCTGGTTTGTAGCTTATTGATCACATGTCACATCCAGTCTGAATGTGATGTCATGTTCATCCCAGGCTTCAGCGTGGACTGGTGGGCTTTGGGCGTGCTGATGTTTGAGATGATGGCTGGAAGGTCCCCGTTCGACATCATCACTGACAATCCTGACATGAACACAGAGGAGTACCTCTTTCAGGGTGAGCCAGACCAATGATCAATACTGACTGTTAGACTCAAGCCTGTTGTTTAAGGAGATATCACTGATCATCATCAATAATGACTCAGTCTACAGATTACAGGGAGCTTTTACAGGTCGAGGAAATCTAATCTGCACTTTGGCTTTTTGAATTCTTTCGACTTAATGACTCCAAAATAAAAAAGGGCTGGGTGAGTTTGAATATTATAATATAGTGAAATGAACAGGATTGATGCCCTGCTGCAAACATGTGCACTGATGTGTGTGAACGACCCACACAGAGAGCCATTGTTGTGGTTCCAGCTCTCCTCTTATGTTCGCCGCTGTGTCGTAGCCCGGAGCCGGCTCGCTCCGTGGCTTCCTCCACTGACGCAGGCCGGAGACCACGCCCCTTACACAACGTGTGCAATCACACTGAGGCTACTGTAGAGGTTCATGAGCATGTTTGCTAACACGCTGTGTCATAATCAGGAGGTGTAAATCTGATGGACGGCGGTTACTTTTAAAGCGTCATGAAACAAAGAAGATCTATATGTTTCTATCAAGCTGTGCTCAAACTGGCACTGGGTAACAAATCAAAACCAGTGCAGCACACACAAAACACCAAGAGAAGCTGCAGTCAGACATGTTTTCATGCAGTTTAGATGCAAATGATAGAACTGCATTCATGTTAAAGTAATCTTCCATCCATCATAATCTTATTTACAGTGTTTCAGGTTGTGATTTTTATCTCTTGAAGAGGTGTTAGTTACTTCCCTCCGATGCTCACACCTGATTGCATTTCTCTTCCTATAAGGATAAGGATGCACAAATTCAGCCTTTCCAAGCGGAACAAAAGGATTAGCATTCAGAGAGCGACATTCTTCTATACATCACAGTGTCATCATCCAGCAGTGCAGTAAAGCTGTAGCAAACACACATTCCCGACAGAGTAAACAACAAGTTCTTTGCACGTTTTCAGACGTGTGAGTCCTCATTTTACATATATATGTATATGTGTATATATTTATATATATATATATATATATATCTCACTACATCGTAAACCTGTTCCTCACACTGGTACCTGCTCACATTCTCAGCATCACATTGCTGCTTTCACTCTTCTTCATGGCCTGCAGCATGTTTGCAGTGCTCATTAGTAGAACTGAAGTACACACAATGACAGCACTCAGAATACCCACTGCTTGTTACTGAACTGTGCACAACTTAAACTTTTGTGCGTAATGAAGCGATCCACAGTCAGTCTGGTCATTAATCTTCGCATGCAGACAGAGCAGAGTGCTTCATCATGGTGGAGTTTTAGCAGATCTTTACAGTGTCCCAGATCTTAAACTCAGTGACAAGTAGAAGAAGTAGAAGTCAGCAGAAAATAACCTTGGTGTGATCACATGTTTATAATAGAGAAACGTCAGGAACTTCTACTTGCATGTGTTTCCTCGAGCCATATGGTCTCTTTACATAGCACGAAGCCACCCAGACTGTCCTCTGTGACAGAAATTCCTCCATACTACACATTGTGTCAAAGGAGCATAGTGCGGCACCACAGCTAGCATCTGTCACCGTCCTCCTGGCGGCCTTACCGGTACAGCAGCAGGTTCCTGGATCAATGCCTGCCAATGGAAACCAACCCTTCACTATAGGAGCTCCCAGCCATATGCCGCCGAGCTAGACTGAGCCAGGCCTTACTCTGGGTATCTGTGCACCTCATGCTAACCCTGGAGCTTTAGACACTCAGAAACATTTGATTCAGGAATCAGCCACAAGGCTGTATTCACAGCTAACATGTACAAGAACTGAATGTAATGGTTAAATCTAAACCTCAGACACGTGTAACGTAAAGCTTGCTCTGTACTTTTAAAGCTGAAGTGAAAATAAAATGGGCTAATACAGCAGACTATCTGTCTGTTAAAACTGGCCAATGGCAGCCACCCCCCATGTCAGTTTGGCTCCAGCTGGCATTCATCAGCCGTCTCAACTCACTGTTTTCTAGCAATATCTGAAATTTTTTCAGCAGAACCAACGCAGACAACAGAGAGAATTTACTGGGCTTTCTCCTTTACACTGAAAGGAGGCGTCATGGTTTAAGACTGGCTTCAGAAAGACAACTGTGTATACCAACAGGATAGCAACAATAAATTAAAAAATAAATAAAAAAAAAAAAAAAAAAAAAAAAAAAAAATATATATATATATATATATATATATATATATATATATATAAATATATATATATATATATATAAAAGTGATAAATGATGTAGTTTACCTTCATGATATAACAACAGTTTCTGTCTGAAGAAACAAAACCAAGTAAACACGTCCATGTTTGAAGCAGGTCGGCTGCCAAGATTAAAAGATTATTAATATGTAAACACAGTGACAGAGAGATCAATCAGGCACAACATTATGAGCACTGACAGATGAGGTGAACAACACTGATTATCTCTCTGTTGTGTCTCTGATATGTTACTGGGAGCAATTGAACATTTTCCCAGAAGTTTGATTCTGTTCATCTGGACGTTCTCAGTGGGACAAACGTTTCCTCATCATCAGGTGACTTCTTCAGTCTCAGCTGACTGCAGCTTTCCAGCCTTATAAACAGCACATTTGCACAATGACTGAAACCAGCCCACTGATTAACAATGGGCTGGGAGGTCAGTTTATGATCATTAATATGCAAATTGATCAAAGCCCACTGATCAATGTCCATGAGTCCCATTCACACAGAGTTGGGGAATGGCTGCAGTCACAGCATTGTAAGATGGTGACAGATGTACCCCTCCTCGATTCAGAGATGGTCTTTCCCTTTTCATGTAATTGGCCTCCTTCTTAAAAAATGACATAAACCAGAAATGTTTATTGTTGGTAACATTTATAATTCTTTCTAGTTATTCAACAAATCATGAAAAGGTCAGCACCAGCAATTATTTGATTTTGCTGACATGTTTTGTTTGTCTTAGCTCCGTGGTTGCCAGGGAGACCACGAGCTGGTTTACTCCTAGTGTCGTTTCCAAGCCTCGATAAATATGGAGGGTTGCATCAGGCAGGGCACCCTGCCAAAGCAAACACGTCTGCCATCAGAAATGACATTTGCATCCCTGGAGTAAAGAGTGCCGCTGATGCTGTTGGCCAGCAGTGTGCCAGTGGGTAGGTGCTACTATTGGCTTTGAATGCTCGGCACACTGATACCCATGTTGACTTTGGTGAAATGGCCCAATCAGGTCCATGCTAATTTGCTCAGATGGACCCTCCACCTGTAAAGGCTGCAGTGGCATTCAGGTCAGGATGCTCACAACGACCCCTGAATGTGCAGCCAATGAAACTGGCCCGTTATTCTTGCCAAGGTTTTGTCATTAACGTTGGCATAATGATTGCGTTGTAATGAGTTTTCCCACTAGCAACTGGGAGTTCTCCTCTCTCTAAGTGTCATGACTCACCTGATACTACCTGTCTGATTGTTTCTACTACAGCTGACCATCAACTTTAATCACCTGGCCAAAGGCACAGCACCACACAGCAGTATCAGATAAATAAGACTTTATTTTATAGATGCACAACAGGACAACTTTCATTTCTCACATCAGATCTGCAGTTCAGAGCATCAGCACATCTCAAGGTCAACTTTACTGTCAGTTCTGTAATATCTACACAGGATAAGCTCCTTAAAGGCTCTGCTGTTGTGATTCTGTGCTGCATAAATAAAACTTGAGTTAAGTGGAACATCGAGCTAGTAAAATACCCGTCTTTCTAGTCACAAAACACATCTCTCCTCTTTTTCTGTTTGCCTTGTCCTGGGTGCAGATGTCTTTTGGGTTTAAGAGAAACTGGATCTCAGACAGTGAGTGTTCACGCACACTGGGTTAAAATAATAATAAAATGGGTGAATAGCATGTTTAAAAAGGAGCTGTGATGCAGTTCTTCATCTCTGGATTTGGGTTTTGAGGGAGAAACTGTTTTTACTGCATTTTGTTCTTGTTAGCTGTGGGAGTCTCAAGGCTATTAGTAGACCACAAAAAGTGTGAGAGAGAGAATAGAACAGTGTCCTCTGCATCTCCGCCCTTTCTCTGCCTCCCACGCAGCAGACAGTCACCCACAGGCAGGTTGGACTGTGAATCATTCTCCCTCCTCACGATTGTCCTTTTAATTCACTCGCTCTCTCTTTTGTTGCCGTCCTTCTTTTTGCCAACAGTTATTCTCGAGAAGCCCATTCGGATCCCAAGGTCTCTGTCGGTGAAAGCTGCCGGCGTGCTCAAGGGCTTTCTAAACAAGGTGAGACAGTCCCTCCCATAAGCACCCTCTCCTCCTGCGTGCACTCTGCTGCTCACTGTGTGGGATTATGGCCCAGAGCATGGGCTATGTTACAATGTAGGCCTCAGTGTTTAGTTCTGAGTGGACAGTTGTGCCTCTGTTATTTTAGTATTTACACAGTACAACTCAGTTGCCCAACAAAGGATATGTGGTAATCCACTCGAGGGTTTCTTGGCACCGGGGTCAGGACCGTGCTGGATCACTCGACTTGGAAGAACAACAACACAGACTGCTACTCCTGGCAGACTGGTTGTTTCTTATCATTGAAAGTGGACGATAAAGAGCGTGAAAGTGACACAGTAATCAGATTACTGCTGGGATAAGCAGCACTTTCTCACATGTAACACTGACAGGAACTAGTTCACCTCAGACCCACTCTGATGAGGGAAACTTCCAGCATGATTTCATTTAGAGAGCTGCCTCCACAGGAGCAGCACACACGATAACAGTGAAAGCACCAAAATACAAGCTGAACTATTCACACGACGTCTTTGGACCAGGCTGCTGCTGCTTAAAGGCAGGCACCTCTGTCAGGCCAAGAAAACTTTCGTCCATGTGTGAAACTGAATGTAGTGACCTAATTTCACATGCTTTTTAAGAACAGCATCATGTCTGTGCACTAAGTACAAGGCTAAAGCCAGGAGTGAAAGCAGGCACACCACAGACCCAGTGGCAGTCTGGCCTGAGGCTGACACATAGTGACAGACAGTCACGCTCACATTCACACCTGCAGGCAATTTAGAATCTCCCATTAACCTTTTCCTTTTAGCCAGAGCACTCAGCAGCAGCACGTGCAACCTCCACGCAGGAAAGAAGGCCTCGGATAAAACCACAGCTGTTTCAGCACAGCTTTACCTTATTTAATAAGTTAGGATGGGGTTAGCTTACCATAACTGCAGCAGGGTCTTATATATTAACATGGATACAGGAATTTGTCTGTTTTTTAAAGAAGTGATATTTAAAATGATTGTGTTAGCAGAGTGTGCTAGTTCACAATGGAAAATTCAATTAAGTTTTATTTATACAGCATCAAATTGCAGCAACAGTTGCCTTACTTTATATTGTAAGGTAGAACCTACAATAATACACACAGAGAAAAACCCAACAATCATATGACCCCCTATGAGCAAGCACTTTGGTGACAGTGGGAAGGAAAAACTCCCTTTTAACAGGAAGAAACCTCCGGCAGAACCAGGCTCAGGGAGGGGCGGGGCCATCTGCTGCGATTGGTTGAGGTGAGAGAAGGAAGACAGGATAAAGGCATGCTGTGGAAGAGAGACAGATTAATAACAAGCATGATTCAGTTCACGGTAAACTGGTCAAGCATAACCCTGGATGACCATGCTTTATAAATGCAGACCATTCATCATCTACTCTGTATAAAAGCTCATCTGAGCGCCATGTTGTTACTCACAGTTTATGTTGACATATTTGACCATCTTTGATAAAAGCTAATTCTCTTGTGACCAGAGTCAGGAGTGTACACACCAATCAGCTGAAGAGCCAGGTGCTCCACTGCAAACGTCCAGACAAGATCCCTACTCAGCACTTATTGTTTGAACCTGAGATGCTTTGGTTGCAGTGATGCAGAATAGCAGAAATAAATGTGTTGTAAGCACATGAAACTTTCATTTGGTACAAGCAGCACTGTGGACTACAAGTAAGAGTTGATGACTGTAGTTTCCCCCTATGCTGTGATTGGATAGCTGGATAAAAAGTGTCCGTGATGGATGCATCACTTTACTGTGGGATATTTAGACAACGAGAAAAACCACATGCACAGGAGGCAAAGGTGTCTTTGGTTAAAGACCAGGTTACAGAACAATGACCGTTACTGCATTTGAGCCTGTGGTTTAATTTTTCCACGTCCTGTTTAAACCTCTGTATGTCACCTGCATGATTGTTGTGATGAGCAGAGCACAGGGAGGCTGTGCCACATGCACACATACCTTTGTAGTACTTAATGAAATTCTTGTTGTTGTCCTCAAGACAGTCATTTCATGTATAGTTCAACATTTGAATGATAATAAAACATAATAATTGGTCTTTTTCATCACGCTCCTGGCCGTTCTTACAGTATGTGTACTACAGCAGCTTCTGTTGATGTTCCTGACCAGCTGTTTTGGCTCCAACAGGATCCCAAGGAGCGGCTGGGTTGTCAGGTCCAGACAGGCTTCACAGACATCAAGTCCCACACGTTTTTCCGCAGTATAGACTGGGAACAGGTAAGAACTGAAGTCTGAGTGAAAACGCATCGTTGTGTATTAAAGTTATTTCATCTTAAACACAACATACACACTGCAGTCTCACTATGATTTCCAAATGCATGGGCTTGGAAAGGAGCAGTAAGGGAACAAATCTACTCGGTTACTGCAGTCTTCTATTAAATCTCCTGCTTCGGCTATCATCAGCATTTTTAACTGATTTTACATAAAGTCATTGTATGGAGCTCTTGGACAACTGCTGGTAAAGATGTTTTTACTGGTTTGCAGCTTGTCTCACTCTCTGCCTTTGGTTTCAGATCAGTTCCTGAGATGGTTAAGAAAACAGTTTTCTCAAGATCAATATAATCAATACTGTTCTTCCATCTCAGAGCTGTAATGTGAAATGTTATATAAAAGTACTACAGTCACCCAGCCACATGGAGGTGACAAGCCAGTGTACTCCGAGTGCCAAGGTCTGATGATATGGGACCGTGAAGAATGAGATTCCTTTACCGGATCATTTGGGATCCAAGTTAACAACAACTGTGTGTGGTGCTGGGAGAAGCATGGACGTGAGGATAGGGACTGTGTCACACAGACACGACCATGACTTGTTGAGTGTTGTTAGTGTGTGTGCTCAAGCTCAGCGTCAGAAGAGAAAGAGGAATACTGGGGTGGATGAAACGGTGGAGAGAGGTGATTTAAGCAACTAACTATAAGCACTATATAAAACTGACTTGAATTGATTGGAGCAGACTTCAGTGGACACCCCCAAACAATCACAGCAGATGGCCCCGCCCCTCCTGTGCCTGATTCTGCCAGAGGTTTCTTCCTGTTAAAAGGGAGTTTTTCCTTCCCACTGTCACCAAAGTGCTTTCTCATAGGGGGTCATATGATTGTTGGGTTTTTCTCTGTATGTGTTATCGTACGATCTACTGTACAATATAAAGTACCTCGAGGCGACTGTTGTTGTGATTTGGCACTGTGTAAACAAAATAGAATAGAATTACATGTATGTGAAGGAAACAGAGGTGATGAGGAGGTTTCTGCTTGTGGAGAGAAATGGAGACAGACAGATGATAGTAGACAAAAAGGACAGAAACAGCTGCAGTAAACACACATTTGAAGAAGAGGGGGAACAATAAATGACTTATAAGGGTGGAGGAAGGTGCACACAGGTAGACTGTATCTTATGTTGAAAGTGCATTAAGAAAGAGATGTGAGACTGCAAGGAGCAAATCTTCTTAGGCAGCAGTGAACAGTCTGTAGGATGAAACCAAGAAGAGGAATAACAAGTGAAGATAAAGCCAATGATTAAATGATGGAAGCTGAAGAAGGAAAATTGGAGACAGGCTCAGAGTGGTAAGAAAATATTATGTATATTTGAAATGGTTAGGAAAACTGCTAAGAAGGTGTTTGGTGTATGTGGAGGAAAGAGGACAAGCAGAAGGAAGTATAAGTATTCAAAGGACGAGGTTAGCAAAGGAAAAGTGGAAAAGTCAGGAAGATCAAAATAAACAAGAGACCAGGCGAACAGCAAACAGCTGGCAAAAGGAAAAAGACTTACAGACAGGAGACAGTGGACTGTACCATACCACAGCACTTTATCCAGCACTTATAAAAACAAAGCCAATGAATGGAGACAGGTGGTTGGTCCAGGTGAAGCACCTGTGGAGAAAGAGCAGCTCCTTTGACAGGATTGTTTAACATAAGCCTGCAGTCAGAGGAGGCTCGAGCAGTGGAGGAGCGAGTGGTGGTTCTGATCAACAAGGATGATGTGCAGAGTCATACCATGAAGGTGTGGGGAAAGAGCTGTTTCAGCGAGCTTAGGAAGAGAGGTGATGGCTGTGTGCTGACAAACAGAACTACACATGTAATGTCTGCAGATTTCTTCACAGCTATGTTTCCCCGTCCCCCCACCTCCGTCTCAGACCCACGCTTCCTCTTCTCCACTGTTCTCAGGAGGGTAATTACACTTTTCTGTTGTCTTAATTTGAGGTTTAACAAACATCTACTATGAAAATGGTGATTTCAGGGAGTGTCCACGCGGGGCTCGAGATAGGAATGGTGTTGCACAATAACTGGGATTCAAATAGAAGCATTCTGTTTGTGGCTACTCTCATAACTCTGATGAAAATTACATGTGTGCACTTTATACATACAGTGGGGCAAAAAAGTATTTAGTCAGCCACCGATTGTGCAAGTTCCCCCACCTAAAATGATGACAGAGGTCAGTAATTTGCACCAGAGGTACACTTCAACTGTGAGAGACAGAATGTGAAAAAAAAAATCCATGAATCCACATGGTAGGATTTGTAAATGTAGCCTGGTCTCAAATATCTATTTTAGACACTACAGGTTAAAAGGATATAAATATTGTCATGTAAAAACTTTATTGTAAATATTTCATATGTGTTTAAAAAAACAAAACAAAAGTTCAAATGCATTAAAAACGTGTTTAAAATCACAATAAATAGAAGTCAATTATAATTTAAGTGTTCATGGAGTTAAAGTTACAAGAAACCCAAAGGTTTGTTATCTAATGTAAAACAAGGAAAACTTTGTATTTGCTTCAAGTTGTTTTACAAGCTCATTTTGGGTTGTCAATCTTGTATTTGTTTTATCCCATTGGTTGATGTAAACCTATTGTCCAATCAGACGTAAGGAAGGCGGGATCTAAGTGAGGCGAAGAAAAGAAAAACTAAGCTAGTGAGAGTCGGCAGCAGCACGTTACCGGAGGAGGTTGTGTACCAGAGCTAACGGGAGAATAGTCAAAATAATAGCCGTGGATGCAGAGTCTATGTTCCTGTTATGGACTGTTTTGCCCTGTGATGATGGACCGAGAGGAATTCTCTGGACCCTTCTGCTGTGGATAGGATTTCCGTGGGTTTGTCCCAGTGTGCTCAGCAGCCCAAGTATGCCGCTAATTCCGACCACGTTGCCGAGTGGAGGCCGCATGGTCACAAACCGAGCCTGCCCCTCAGCTTGTCCTCGCACTTAGCCCGAAGGATTTGTGAGTAGCTACGAGCACGTGCGTTTTGTTTTCTGCTTGTTTATCAAGCGAAGCGGCCATTTGTGTTTTTCTGGCCCAACGAGCCCGAGCAACGATCAGGCCTGCAACGGTTTCAGTACATGAGCTCTAAAAGGTTACAAATTTGAACTGAACTAAAAAGGGGAATATCTTGGATAAATGTGTTGTTTCTAAAACATTGACTGTGAATAGAGAAAAAAGCCATCCACTTGAATTGTAAGGAAACACTTCAGAACTGGGAATATTGTATTTTTTATTTTTATTTAAATCATACTTTGTTTGGACTAAATCTTACATGTTGAATTTAAAGTTTTGTGTTGTGTCATATTTATGATTTACAGAGTTTATAAGTGATAAGGGTTACTAAAGGTAAAAGAGAGGTTTAACATGTTAGATAAATTCATTATTCTTAGTGAAGATTAGACAGAACTCCTTATTTTCACTAAGTGGAGGCACCGCCAACATTAAGATTTCTAAGTACAAAGGTTAAAACTGGTTAGCTATCGTTTCTCCTGTTTACCAATAAAATAAGTAACGTACCCAGGGCCCCGCTCAGAGTACTATCACCATCTTAACCGAGGGTTAATCCAGAGCTACTTGAGTTGGGTGCTACACATTGGAGGCACCGCTGGGATTTTTTTTGTTGTATTATATAAATTTTAAGTTACCACTAAATCTGCTATAACCTTAAAGTAACTAAGAGTCACACTGGTCCTAAAAAGTAATTTCAATTAATTTCTTGTCTTCCCCCTACAAAGTAACTTGTTAAAACTATGGCCACTAAAAGTAATGTTTCACAACCAAATCTTGCAAATTGGTGCAGAGGTGAAGGGCTTGATCAGGCACATGCCATTCTAGTTCTTGGAGTGTCTGAAGAGGAGGAAATATCCACAGTAGAAGAAACCCTCGAACAAGTAAAAACCTTGGGCAAGGTAAGAGTGAGAGGAAAAATGTTTGATGCCAATAATCAAACCCTGACCATGTTATGTGAATGCCGTCAAGAAGTCGATCCTACCAAAGTTCCACCAGAGGTGATTTCAGTTAAAGAAGGAAGTAAATGGAAATTAGTTGTTGCAGAACAAGAAACAAACTCTGACCTATTCACAGAGAAGTTGGACAGATTTCTACATGATGAAGGGAAAACATTGGAGGATGTTAAAAGACTATGTGATCCTAGCACCTCATGGAACAGCAACCCCGAGTCAATCATTCGGGCGGTAGGTGATGTTTTGCAGTCCAAGCCAAATGAAAGTAATTCATACCGTCGTTTTAGAATCTTCTCTGGAGTCCACCCTACTCCACCTGGTGAAGACAATTTAGACAGCTGGTTAGAACAAGTAAAGTTCATGTCTGATGAGTATGAGTGCTCAGATAAGGAGAAACGCAGAAGGATTATTGAGAGTCTCAAAGGGCCAGCGCTGGAGATCATTCAAGCAGTGCGCATGTCTAATCCCATGGCAAACCATATGGATTACTTACAGGCATTGGAAAGTACCTTCGGAACCTCAGAATCCGGTGAGGAATTGTATCTCACATTCAGAACTATGCATCAAAGACAAGGTGAGTGCTTGTCTAACTTCTTGCTGAGACTGGAAAGATTACTGAACAAAGTAGTGCAAAAGGGAGGCCTACAAGTAGATGAAGCCAACAAAGCAAGACTTGAGCAACTCATTAAAGGTGCCACTGAATCAGACTTCATGCTGCTTCAGCTAGGTCTAAGAGATAAGCGGAATGATCCCCCGACATTTTTAAGCCTACTCAAAGAAATTCGAGAAGAAGAGGAGCGTGAAGCTGCAAGACAAAAACTCAAAAAACCAGCACAGAGACCGCATGTGCATGCAGTGCAAGTAGCAAGTGAAACAGACTCTAAAGGCTGTCAGCAACATGATTTTCAGTCCGAAATTCAAGAGCTAAAAGAAAAGCTGAAAGAGCTCAACAAGCAGTCTCATTCTACGGAGTCAAGCCACAAAAAGATGTCCAGAGAAAAGAA